AAGGAAGGAAGGAAGGAAGGAAGGAAGGAAGGAAGGAAGGAAGGAAGGAAGGAAGGAAGAAAGGAAGAAGAAATTTCCTGAGGAAAAAATTCTAAATTTGGGAATGTTCTGTAGTTATGTAAGAGTATGCTCTTCAGTTGGTTAGTTTGAGGCCAGCCTGGTCTACAAGAGCTAGTTCCAGGACAGGCTGCTACAGAGAAACCCTGTCTGAAAAACAACAACAACAAAAGAGTATGTTCTTGGAATAAAGTTTTAAGAATAAGAGATTGCTGGGTGGTGCTGGTGCACACCTTTGATCCCAGCACTTGGGAGGCAGAGGCAGGTGGATCTCCTAGTTTAAGACCATCCTTGTCTATAGAACTAGTTCTAGGACAGCCAGGACTACACAGAAAAACCCTGTCTCAAAAAACAAAACAAAACAATAACAACAACAAAAAAGAATAAAAGATCATGGGTATGCTGGAGGATTCAGCAGGTAAAGCCTGATGCCTTAGTTTAGTCCCTAAGACTCACATGAAGTAGAGAACCAACTCAGGAAAATTATCTTCTGACCTTCACATAGTGCCTTGGCACACGTGTAGGCACTCGTGCACACACACAAACACACATACATATGCTAAATGTTTAGTTTTGTTTTTCAAGACAAGGTTTCTCTGTAGCTTTGGAGCCGGTCCTGGAACTCACTCTCCTGGCTGGGGCTATTTATTTATTTATTTATTGTTTTATTGTTTTAAAGAATAAAAAGTTGGGCTGGTGAGTGGTTTAGAGCACTGGTGAGTGGTTTAAAGACCCCAGGTTCAATTCCCAGCACCCACATGGTACCTCACAACTGTCTGTAACTCCAGTTCCAGAGAATCTGACACCATTATACCAATGCACATCAAATAAAATTAAATAATTTTTTAAAAAGGCATAAAAGGTCATGCAGTCTATAATCTATTTTTGAATATGTCCTTTTGAAAACAAAAGGGATGTGTGAATGGAGAGGGAGGAAATTTAATTGTAAAATTTGTGATTATTATATGAGAATAGGCCCTGGATTTAACGCAGAATAAAAAATAGATTTGGAAAATACAAGAAAATATTTAGTACTAGAGTTTGTTGTTAGTAGGAAACCTAAGAGAAAATAGGCAAAAATAAGATAAAGTTGGTGTTACTAAAAAAACAAAGTAACAAAGATGTTTACAGAGATTGTGAAGTTGATTGATTTGTTTGTTGTCTGCTTTTGAGATCAGGATCTCTTGCTTAGACTAGGTCTAACTCCTAACTTAGTGATGCTCTTGGTTCAGCCTGAATGGTGCTCAGACTACAGTGTGAGCCACTATACACAGCCTTAGATTAATGCTGGCTTTGGTTATTTTTACTATATGTGTATGGGTGTGTGCCTGGGCACTACATGTGTGCAGTGCCCTCAGAGGCCAGAAGTGGGCATAGGCTCCCCTGGAACTGGGATTACAGGTGGTTGTGAGCTGCCAATGTGGGTCCTCTAAAAGACCAGCAAGTGACCTTACCCATTGAGTCATCTCTGCAGTCCCCAAGAAAGAAATTCTTAACAATTCTAAAGCGTGCTTGTGCTGTTGCTAACTGTGGCTGCCATCTCTGGTTTATGTAGTTAAGAAGTGTGATATTCTGCAAAGCATGAATAGTCATCTGGAAGCCGTGCTAAAAGAGAAGCGGGCCATCAGGCAAAGACTGCTGAGACCCATCTGCCAAGAGAACTTGCCAATGGAAGCTGTTTATCACAGGTTAGATCACGAGGCAAAAGTGGAGAATTATGCATGCCTTTTTAAGGTAGCTTTTCTTGGTGGCAGTTATCATAATTCACAAAACAATATATTATTAATTGTATTTATTAACAATACTATTGTTGATACGTTAAACTGGAAAGTATCCTTTGTTTTTAAATAATTAATTATAACTGGAAAAAAAGAAAGGACTTTGTTTTGCCACTTGTATCTTAGGACTTATAAATTATGGCTTTGATGAAAAATATTAGATTCTAACATGCAGCACAATGATTAAAATCTGCTTTATTATGTATAGACTGTTTTTTTTTTTTTTTATGAAATACATTGTGAGTTTTAGTACCAGGCCTACATAAGGAGACCTTGTCTCAGAGGCAACAAAAATTGGAAACAATGTGATTCTTTTGAGACAGGGTCTTTTTTGTTTGTTTGTTTTTCTGTAACTTTGGAGCCTGTCCTGGAACTAGCTCTTGTAGACCAGGCTTGTCTCGAACTCACAGAGATCCACCTGCCTCTGCCTCCCGAGTGCTGGGATTAAAGTTGTATATCACCACCGCCTGGTGATACGGGTCTTATGTAGGCTGACCTCAATCTTACTGTGTAGTCGAGGATGAAAAAAATGCACTCTATTCTTACCTCTATTGATCATACTGTATCTCAGAGTGTCAGGCAAGTGATTTAAAAACAAAACAAAAACCAACAACAACAAAAAGAAAAAATGAGCAATGATTTTGAAGATTTTATAATGCAGATTTAAAAAATGGGTGTTTTTTATAGTATAGTATTTTTCCTTGTTGTCTTCTCTGTTCTCTGAACCAGTATGAGGCTTTGTCTAGGGAAGTGGCTTTTGAGATGGTTATTACCAACAGCTGAGTGTTTCTTTTTTTGTTTGTTTTCGGGTTTTTTTAAAATATTTTTTATTTATTATGTGTACAATGTTCTGTCTGCGTGTATGACTGCAGGCCAGAAGAGGGCACCAGACCTCATTACAGATGGTTGTGAGCCACCATATGGTTGCTGGGAATTGAACTCAGGACCATTGGGAGAGCAGGCAATGCTCTTAACCGCTGAGCCATCTTTCCAGCCCTTGTTTTTGTTTTTTAAGACAGGGTTTCTCTGTGTAAGAACCCTAAGCTGTCCTGGAACTAGCTCTTGTAGACCAGGCTGACCTCAAACTCACAGTGATCCTCCTGCCTCTGCCTCCCAAGTGCTGGGATTAAAGGCATGTGCCACCATCGCCTGGCTTTTTTCTTTTTTTGGAGATAGAGCTCAATATGTGCCCCTGGCTGGCCTAAAACTCACTATGTAGACCAGACTGATCTCAAAGTCTTAGAGATCCTCCTGCCTCTGCCTCCCAAGTGCTGGGACTAAAGGCACGTATCACCACACCCATTTCCACTGAGATTTCAGTTAGATTACAGTTGTCATGAATAATGTGTCTTTCCATTTCGAATTTTCTTTTTTGGGTCTTTTGAGGCAGGGTTTTTCTATGTAGCCCTGGCTGTTCTAGAATTTGATATGTAGACTAGGCTGGTGTAGAACTCACAGAGATCCACCGGTTTCTGCCTCCACCTCCTGAGCACTGGGCACTAGGGTTAAAGCCTGGCACCATGAAGCCTGGCTCATTCTATTTTTCTGTTTGTATGACAATTCTAAATTTTGCCTTCAGTGAAAGAGAACCTTCTCACCATTAATAGTTCCATTGAAGTATTAATGATGCTCCTTAGATTTGCTTATAAAAATTGACAGTCCTGATTAAAGGGAAAGAAACAAAACAGCTAAGAAGAAAAGTTAAAGGGCTGAAGAGATGGCTCAGTGGTTAAGGTCATGGACTGCTCTTCCAGAGGAAGTTAGTTCAGTTTTCATCACCCACGTGGCAGCTCACAGTCTTCAGTAACTCCAGTTCCAGAGGATCCAGTGCCCTCTTCTGGCCTCCATAGGCACTGCATGTATGTGGTGCACAGTAATGCAGGCAAAACACCCACACACAAAATGAATATATAAGAGGAGGAGGAGGAAGAAAAATTCATTTTTTTTCTCCTTGTATTGCTTTTCTTTTCTAACCGCTGTAACAGAATACCTAACAGAAGAACTTGTTTGCGGAGAGGCTTGTTTTAGCTCACAGTTTAGAGGCAGTACATCCAGCATTGTAGGGAAGGTATTGTGACTGGTGTAAGCCCCTTGAGGTGTTCAAGGAGGGGTCCCTGTCTATGAGGTCTTCCAATCACCAGGTTCCACTCACAGAGCACTGTAATGCCCTGGACTTGAAAACCCACCAATCCCTACTGTAGCATGAGGGCCATATGTAACATGAGGGCTGACTTGTTGGGGTTTCTGTCCCACCCAGTACCCCACAGCCGGCAAGTCCCAAAGAAATAACAGAGTCTACATTAGGTTATTAACTGATTGGCCCATTAGGTCAGGCTACTTATTAGCTCTTATAACACATATTACCCCCATTATCCTTATCTACGTTAGCCACATGGCTCAGTACCTTTCTCAGCTGGGCAGGTTACATGCTGCCTCTTCGGTGGTCTGGGCAGGAATGGCGGAGGGACCTTCCTCCTCCCTAGCCTTCTCCTGTTCTCATTGCCCCACCTCTACTTCCTGTCTGGTTGACCTGCCTATACTTCCTGCCTGGCCAATCAGTGTTTTATTAAAATACATGATTGACAGAATACAGACAATTCTCCCACACCACCCTACCCTAGAAAGCTTCTCACCCAAGAAATGCTCTATAAACCCTGTCTTCTTCCCAGTTCTCTGCTGCTTCTTACTCCTCACTGTAGTAGAGGCAGCCATCCTCCTGCATTTTCCCCTAGAAATCTCTTATGTGAGGTTTCTTGTGGGATGCAACTTAGTGGTATATCTGGACTCCTGATTGCCAGGATACCTTTCCCTGTAACAGCTGCATTAGGGAAACACCCCCTACCCCCACCCCTCTGGGAGCAGTGCTATAACACACTGTGGAAACACCCCCGCCCAGCCCTCAGCAGAGCTGTAATGCTTGTAGTGAGGAAGCCTTCATCCTCAGAGCTGTAACACACACAGCTAGGGCAACTCCAGCTGCGGCGACAGGACTGTGGCATGGCTTGTTGAGATCTTAATGGATCAGGAATTGGAGAGCACTTTCAAGGACTGCCCCCAGTGATCTACATCTATCAACTAGTCCCTGTGTCCCAAAGCTCCAATGAATCCCCAAACAGCACCACCCAACAGGGACCAAGTGTTCCAACATGGGAGCCTGTGGGGTAAATTTACATTCCCCTCTGTACTCTCTTTCAGACATATGGTACATTTGTTGGAATTGGCTGTGACTTTCATTGAGAAATTAGAAGCCCATCTTGAAACAATTAGAAATATCCCTAATTTAAATGCAAACCTAACGGAAATGGTGAGTATTACTAATATAGCTGCTCTTAATTCTTACACTAGAATCTCAAGTGTGTCACTTTCCCAGTTAATATTTTGGTTTTTGTTTTATTTTTTTCCATAGTCTCATGTAGCTAAGGCTGATCTTAGACTCCCAAATTAACAAACAAAGCAATGTATGTCTATAGTGATATTTTATTATTTATGTTTTAGTCAATAAAGCTTGCCTGGAGACCAGGCAGTGGTGTCACACACCTTTAATCCCAGGATTTGGAAGACAGAGACAGATGGATCTCTATGAGTTTAAGACCCCCCCCCCCCGGGCTACATAAAATCTATGCAGAAATATTTGCAAGTGGTGGTGGCTCACACCTTTAATCCCAGCAGCACAGGGGACTGTAAGATGGGAGGAGACAGAGGCTCGGGGCTCAGTCTGCAGTTGCCCAGCCTTGGTAGAGGTGAGACTTTTCTAGTGGCTTGGCTGCTTTGCTTTTCTGATCTTCCAGCTTGAACTTCAATATCTGTCTCTGGGTTTTTATTATCCGTGCTATGTATTTCATCATGACATTCTCATGGATGTGTGATTCCCTTTGTTCTGCTGCTGTCCTCTCCCTTTCTCCTCCATCCACTTCTTCATGTTTCTCTTGCCTCCTCTGGATAGTGTCTCCTTTTATTTGCACGGCACATGTATTCTTTTACGCTTTTTACCCTCTCTCACATTCCATTATGTCTCTCCCTCTCCTTTCAGTTTCTCATGGTGTTTGTCTTTCTGAGCTCGACTAATTTCACTTTGAGTTAGTCATTATTAAAATCATAAAACAGATACATTTTCTTAACCAAGCATGGTGCCCTACACCTTCTAGTATTTGGGTGCCTAAAGAAGATTGTTGTGGAGTTTGGGACTGACCTGCACTATGTTTAAGTACCAGACTAGCTTAAGCTACAAAGTGAGATTCTGTCTCAAAACAAAAAGAAACATTTTTTTAAAACATTACTATAACATCATTTCCATTTTTCTACTCCCTTTCCATCTGCTTCCCTCTTCTTCCTCCATCCCCATGATCTTGTTGTATAGCCCAGACTGACTTCAAACTCACTGTCTTTTTGCCTCTGTCTTCCAAGTGCTAGGATTTTAGACATATACCATCACACCTCACAAAATACATACTTTTTACTTTATAGGATTGAATTTGTATAAATATAAAATAAAATTATTAGGAATTGCTGTAGTGCTTTTCTGGTGTGAAAGACTTTTGCTCCATTTCAAGCACCAGAAGAAAAGAAAATTACAGAATTACAGACTTTAACCACCCCACACCTTCAGAAGCAGTTTTAGACGTCTTTGGTGACACACATGTTCCTGTAATCACAGCACTGGGGATGATGAAGTGTGAAGATGCCGTGAATTTCAGACCAGCCAGATAAGAGTGAGAAAGCTTGAGGTTATTTGCACTGAGTTTGAAATTGATGATAAAGATGTGAACTCACAGATAGAAGATATGTATGGTTGGGTTGAGGGTGGAGTCACAGTTTTTAAGGAATTTTTGCAGTAAGGGACTAGAAAAGATCAGGTATTAATTTTTGATGTACCTATGTCTGACATAATGGTAATCAGTAACTGATTTTTTTTTCTATTTTTCTTTATTTCAAATGTAACAGAGAAAGGCTTTATCCAAGATGGACAATTTGGTGAACGAGACAGAAGAACTGGCAGAGAATATACTCAGGTGGCGAGAACAACAAAATGAAATTTCTTTGTGTGTCCCCAAAATCCTAGCTGAGGAAAATTGTCTTCACAAACCTTTTGTTTCTAAAGTGCATGCCCAAACTGTTAATGCCAAGTGATTGCCATATTTACTTTTGCTTAATTACGTGAAGTCAAAGAAGTCCATTTCCAGGTGATTTGTGACAGGGATATTGATAGACTTTGTTGCTAGCAACTCTGAAAAAGCCCTCTTCTATTGGAGTGCCAGGGTCAGGGAGATGTGTCAGCAGGGAAAAGTTCCTGCTTCAATCCTTGGGATCCACATACCACTTTCTCATATTTCCTCTCTTTGATAAAGCTACAAAAGATCAAGTATGTGTGCTAACCTACTGTAAGTGAGTTTATACTCATCAGACAGAGTCTGTATTGTGACTCTGTGTCATGTCTTTTAAAAACATTTCTGAACTGGAATATCCTGAGTCTGAAAATTTCTGTGGTGACTATCCCTGTTGAGATTACAGACACACAGCAGGCCTGTTGCCCCTGAAGTCTTATTGAAGTGGTAGTTCCGTGGCTGGAGGATGAGAAGGGCTGTGTGACCAGGCTGTGCAGTGAGGCTTCTGTGGGACACTTGCTGTCCTTCTGAGAGTCTAGGATGCTGGTATATACCAAGCAGAAAGTACCTTTGCTACTGGTCCCTGGAAAAACCCTGGAGCACCACACCCATACAATTTTGGTGGTCGAGCCGGGCAGTGGTGGCGCACGCCTTTAATCTCAGCACTTGGGAGGCAGAGGCAGGCGGATCTCTGTGAGTTCAAGTCCAGCCTGGTCTACAAGAGCTAGTTCCAGGACAGCTAGGGCTGTTACACAGGGAAACCCTGTCTCGAAAACCCCCCCCAAAAAAAACAAAAAACAATTTTGGTGGTCGGCAGCATTTCACAGTGTGACAGTTCACGGCTGGAGTTTGGTGACAGTAGGTCTCTATCCCCTTAGCAGATCACAGGACCTGCTCGTCTTAGGAGTGCCTCAGACAAATGCTGAGGGTGAAGAAAGACGAGAGGGGGAAGAAAAGGCATATTGTGATCAAATTTAGAAAATTTTGTTTCGATGCTTCTTATATATAGCCAAGGTAGAACTTGAACTTACTATGTAGCCCAGGCCTCCCGAGTGCAGGAATCACAGACATGTGCCATCACATCCGGCTAAAGTGTAGAGGTTTGTAATGGAAAATATATTTTTTACCTACCTAGGGCTAGTCATAAAATTAGAGACTAGTCTACTTAAAGTAGAGTAGTGACAACTACCTCAAGCTGTTCTCGCCTACTTTGTTACTGTAAGTACTCTGGCTTATGTTTAAATCCTTTGAAACGTGTGCACCAGTGTGTCCATCCTGTTGCATTCTGTGTCAGGGAGTTCAGCGAACCTTCTGTTCATCACATGTTCAATATAAGGCTTCACTGGTTAGATAGTAAAATAGATGTCCATAAAAAACAGGATCCTTACCCTACACCCCGAAAAAAAAAAACTATTAAAAACAGCAGATCATTATTTTGAGAAAGTCTACAGCTTTTACAAATGTCCCGTGCAAAAGTGGTGTTAAGATTTTGACCATCACCCAGATAAGTGATCAAAATTCTTATTTGTATTTTATTTCAAATCTCTTTTAACATCTATTCATTTTTCTGTGTATTATGTGTATATATATTCATTATCATGTTATCACTATTGTTACCCTGTTGGTTTTGTATTTATATTTTCTATTAATGCCTCAGGATGTAAAAATAAACTAATTTCAACTAAATGTGGATTCATATAAATACCAAATAACAGAGGGGAAATATTTCTAACATAATGTAGTATAGACATTCAAACTATGCAGCTCACAAAAGCTTAAGGTAAGTTAACCTAAATTCTAATGTAAAGAGAAAAGCTAATTTTGTGTGGTCAGTAGTGCTGATTTGTTTGAGAGCTAGAAGAAAGAGTTACCTAGGAAGGAGAAAGATTCAGTTTTGCAGTTTTGTTTTTTATTTTGTTTTGTTTTGTTTTTTTAATGTTACTTAGGTTGGATTCAACAGTCCTCTGGCCTCAGCTTAACAAGTTTTGAGTCTCTATATCTGGCTTGAACAAATGTTTCTTTTTGTGAAGTTCTAAGGGTAGTCAAACTGGAGGTCTCTGTAGTTGCGCAGAAGAGAAAGATGGCTCAGTGGATAGACATCCCCATGCAAGAGTGAGCATCTGAGTTCAACCCCAGAACCCACATAAAGCTGAACACCCTTCAGTGAGGTGGGAGGCAAAAGGGAGGGCCAGCTAGCCTCTTACATGCAGCTGCAGACGAGAGACCCTTCAAGGTTTGTCTTCTGACTTCCATTCATGTGCCGTGGCTTACCTATGACTATAGTCCTACACATACAGAGATTAAAAATAAGGAGCAAGCAGGCTGATCAATGGAAATCCTTGAGTGGCTTCTGGGGGTGGGATGGGATGTCAGGCAAGCAGACTTTACCAGGAAGGTTTGGTCAAAATTTGTAAATGTGACTCCATTCCATAAATATAACTATGTTGATTAGTAAAGACTATGTGGGAGGACTCTTCCTGGCTTTTGGTAGCTTTTTGCTTACTACTTTCTCTGGCCCTGTGACTGCCACATTCAGCTCTCATTTGTTCTTTCAAAGTTTCAGTGAAATCAGAAAGGTTGTCTGGGAACAAGAGAATCTAGGAAACTTTTTTTCTTTTTTGTTTGTTTGTTTTTTGAGACTCGAGACAGAGTTTCTCTGTAGCTTTGGAGCCTGTCCTGGAACTTGCTCTGTAGACCAGGCTGGCCTCGAACTCAGAGATCTGCCTGCCTCTGCCTCCAGAGTGCTGGGATTAAAGGAGTGTGCCATCACTGCCTGGCAAAATTTCTTAAATTGAAGAAACCATAGTATGGGGAGGGGGCAGGGAAGAACTGTTGATATTGTAATGACATAACGTACTGTAAGATTTTTCTCATTTGTTTGTAAAACAACTTAATTGACATAAAAGATGCTAGAGAGTTGGCTCGGGTTAAGAGCTGTTCTAGAAGGTCCAGTTTTGAATCCCAGCACTCACATGGTGGCTTACATCTATCTGTAACTTAAGCGCCCAGGGGATCCCATCAGCCTGCTGACCAGGTCTACAGACCTTACATTAAGGCAAAAATACATCCACATAAGGAAGATAAAAGTTTTGTAAGGCCCAGTATGGTGGCACACACCTTTAATTTCGGCATTTGGGTAGCAGAGGCAGGTGGCTATCTCTGAGTAGAGGCCTACGGTCTACATTACTAAGTTCCAGTTCCAGCACAGTCCGAGTTTTATATAGAGACCCTGTCTCAAAAAAAAAAAAGAAAAGAAAAGAAAAGAAAAATATTTTAAATGGAGTTTGGGAAATGGCTCTGTCACAAAGTGCTTGCCGTAAGAGCATGAGGGCTTGAATTCAGATTTTCCAGCCTCCATGTAAAAAGCCAGGCACACATCTATAATTCTTATGTTAGTTAGGGAGGCAGAGATAGGAGGAGCCTGTCTAGCCAAATTGGTGAGCTTCAGATACAGTGAAGATACCAGTGCCTACCTCTGGTCTCCATGTGCTCCTGAGCACATAGTACATAGACATGAATGTGCACACAAAAACAGGGTTCGGTCTCAAGTAAGTATGAATGTACAGTTTGCAGTGCTGAGAGGCAAAACCAAGGCCTATAGTCCCAGGAGTTGAGATGCCAAGACAGAAGGATTACAAATGTTGAGTCCCAAGCCACTCTGAGCTACACAGCAAGATGCTGTCTCCAAAAAAAATTAACAAAACTTTATAGTTCATCTTTCTTACCTTTATGAGTTTTTTGGTTTTTTTGGTTTAGTGTTTATTTATTTGAGATAGGGTTTCTCTGTAGCTCTGGGGCCTGTCCTGGAACTTGCTCTGTAAACCAGGCTGGTTTTGAACTCACAGAGTTGGTTGTTATAATGGTACTGTGATTATGTCAAAAATACACACAAATAATTATGAAATAGGCTTTTTTGTTTGGAGGTTTTTTGTTTCTGAGACAAGGTCTCATATAGCTCACATTAGCCTGAAATTTGCTGATCCTTACTAATGCCGTGATAACAAGTGTGTACTGCCTCACCTGCCGTCCTGGGGCTTGAACCTGGGTAGCTATGGCTTTATGAATATTAGACATACACTGACCATCCGAACTACATCCCCAGCCTAGAGTGAAGTAACTTTAAAAATTATAATGTTCCAGTTATGTCACGCTCTACAGACTGAAGATAGGGCTAATCCTATCTTAATCCAGCAGCAGTTTTCATTGCAAATCGGCAGGAGACTGGGGATGCAAGAGAGTCTAAACTGTAAGCGGTCTGTCTAGTACATTGCTTTATTGGTACTTTCAAATGGACAAGACTCATTGCCCTGTTAGCCACTGGAGTACTAAAGTAACCTCCTGACCGGTCTCCCTGGGCTTCTCCCCCCTTCTCAGACTCGTCCCCAAACCAGCCAGAATAATCCTCTAAAGCTATAAACCAGGGGCTCAGTAAAGGCATGCACTGGCCACCTAACGTAGTCTTGGAATTTAATTTAAGCTCTGATTCTGTTATCTAAAGTTGAATTTCCTATAACAAAATGGGAAAGGTTTTCAAAGGATGGAAGACTTGTATTTTTTAATATTCTTTGCCCCGCGCTACCGTCTCGCCCGCAAAAACCACGCGGGACACTAGGATCCTTCTGCAGAAAAGCTTTTAATGCTTCTTGAGAGAGAGAGCATAAGCTTACATGGCGGAGACCCAGAAATGAGGGAACCCATCCCCTATATAGGAAACAGTCCTCGCTTCAGACGTGTCACTCTTGGATTGGTCCGCTGCCCATTATCCCAGATGATGCCTTGGGAGTAGGCAGGGACGCAGCAGTGGAAAGTTACCAAGCACATGTGCGTTCACCTGGCGGTGAAACCGGATGCCAGCGCCATCTTGTAATGGAGTATGTGGTTGCAGTCCTCCACATCTCCCCCTTTTTTACTTCTTTGCAGAAAGGCAACTCCCTCAGAAGGCAAAGATAGAAGTCGCACTTCCCAAAGTGGAAACATTATAATGGGCTTACATGGAATCTGCCCCTAGGTTCATGACACCTGGAACTTATCTGGCCTGCCCTCTGCCATTTTTCTGGGAAAGGGAATATGTGGCAGGAAACCCTTATGCAGGGCAACATATCTCTCAGAGACGGCCATTCTCTGTGCGATGCTCTTCAGCTCGACAACCTTCAGGGCTTGCTAAGCCAAGCACTCCACCCTGTGCAATGGACCACTGTCCTGGGGGTGCGGGAGCTGGTTGGCATAAACCTTACTGCTTCAACATAGATAACCACATATCAGTAGAGGCTCCCTGTTCCCGGGCAGCCCACGCTTGTGCAATAACTACTTTGTTCCTACGACTTTGGGATTTGAGTCAGCAGACCATCCAGAGGAGAAACACTATTCCACAGCATAGGGCTGCTCCAAACATTCCCACCTCCACCCATTCTTTGAAGTAGGAGATGAAGGACACAACCCAGGACTGGAATCCTTCGGCTAAGCATATAAATCATCTCTAGGAAGGTAGGGGAGCCCCAGAGTCTTATTGGTTGTAAAAAACTGAGGAAACACCGCCACTCTATGGCTGACTGGTGTCGGCTTCGGGAAGGCTGAGAGTATCCCCCATCATAACCGTTGTCATCCATCCACAAAATGGCAGGAGGAACAGAAGCCAAATCTTCAGGCGAGTCCGCATGTTGTGGGGTCACTTTTCACCATTCGGGTCAGTCTCTCTGGCACCCAGAATGGGTTTTCCTGATCCTGTGGGAACACACAAACAGCGCCCCTGGATCTCAATAGAATGGGATCCGGACCTTTCCATTCATTAGAAAGCACATCTTTCCATTTAACCAAATCCTTGGGCCGCTGCGGATCTGAACAATGTCGTGTTGCAGCATTCTGGCCATTATCATCCAAATTTTAAAAATGTATAGTGAACAGAGCCATGGCAATGGCCATTCTTGGCGTCGGGGGCAACTCCTTTATTATTCCCTCTTTTTTTGTTTTTAACAAGAACTGGTATCGGTATAGGCCATGCCCTTGTCATTGTTTAGAGGGTCATCCTTGCTACTTTCTCATCAAGTTCTCCAGTCCAATTACCTAGAAGATAACTAAACAATTGCTTAATAATCAGTCATTGCATCTGGGATCGCAGGGGCGCAATTCTCCAGCTGCATCAAGAAGTCTACCAGAGGCGCGTTGGAAACTATGGGCTTTTTTTCCCCTAGGCCGCACTCGGCAGGTGTAAGCCCCATTAAACAATCCCCCTTTAGGGAAGCTGCGCCAGGTCCGCATTGCTCCGCCAGTTTTCGGCTTGCATCGCTATGGAGCCTGTTCCCGTAGTGGCGGCTCCACCCCGGGTTTTTCTGCTTTTCCAGCGGGGCTGGCCTTGTTCTCCGCGGCTGTGTAGGTGGGGAGTGTGGCGGGAGCCGACACCCGGACCGGTAACCGAGGCAGCACAGGCCGGCAACACCTCAAGGTTTGCGCCGGAGCCGCTACAGCTCATGGGGCTGGGGCTGATGGGAAAGGCGGCAAACAGGGCCACTTCCTAATTAGCAAACTCTCAACATCTGTGCCACAGTCACAGATTTAGCCAATGACCCAATCACCTTAAAAATCCAAGGGCTTTTCGCATCTACCTCCCTGCGGATCCTGAAACATTCGATAAACCAAGTGTATATACAGCAATCTTTCAGGAGGACATGAGTTCTTAAAATGCTAAGCAG